CAATACCTCTCTCTCTGCCCCCAAATGGCCAGCTTTCTTCACAAACTCAACAAAAACACACCATCCCTACGAACAGTAACATCACTCAAAACCCATCTTTTTCCCAAGCCCACACCTTCTGTCATTTCCCATCACAGCCATCTCGGCCATCCCAAACCCGAGTGCTTAGAAAACCCAGTTCCCAATTTGAGTCCTTCAAGCTTTCACATAATTGAAACTTCCAACATGGCGTTATATCATTGGATATGTGAGGCTCACATGTGTTCCATATCATCAGTTTAATAAATTTTTGGATAGAACCTAACGACAAGGACTATTAGTGACCACAAATATTACCCTTGAGGACCACAAATATTAAAGTTTGAGTCATGATATTAGTTCAACACATGACAAACACAAACCAAAATCTCTAAACCAAGATAATTTATTGGGTGTATTAAATACAACACACGACATGTTGATGGTGAATTCGATTCATGTAAATTATGACAGTTTATGTATTAAAAATATTACACGTACTACAATTTAAATGAATTATATTTACAAATTATCATATCATATTGTGTATCAAATACACAAAATTGAAAGGTACACTATATTGGCACGACCTCGCCAATTTTTTTTAAAATAAAACTTGTTACAATGGTGTGAATTATTTGATTAATCACCATAAGTCCTATCACATAACATTTTATAAACCAATTATCTTACACTCCTTTGAAAATGGAGCTAGGTATTATGCCGCTGATGCCTTCGCTACCAAAAGTTATGAGTTTAGTTATTGTCTCCATGTTTTTAAAAAAACTCTTGCCTTTATTAATGCCATCTTAGATATTGATGCTCAAGGTGTTGCTAGTAGGGTTGTTTTCGGTTCGGTAACTGCATCGAAACTATGGAACCGGCAACCGTTCGAGAGGCTGCTGTATGGCTAAAATGGGAACCACTAATGCACCGCCGTCAGCCGGTTACTAGCTATTTCAGTTGCGGTCGTTCTATTCGGTGATGGTCGGTTACCGATTAAGAACAAACAAATGAGAGAGAGAGAGAGAGGAGTTTGTGGCTACAGAAAAGAGAAGGAAGGGGGAAGAAGAAGAAGAAGAAGAAAAGATGAGAAGGAAGGAGGAAGAAGAGAGAGAGAGACGAGTTTGTGGCCGTCTCTCATCTTTCTGGTAGCGACAGAGAAGCTGGTGCAGCACCTACACGAGGAAGAAGAAGTTGGGATTTTTTTTTATTTTTTTATTTTTATAAAAGACCTGGACCAAAACAATGTCATTTTGGCCAGGTCATTTAAAAAAATTTCCTTGGCCAAAACGACATCATTTTGCCCTGGGTGTTTAAAAAAAAGGGTTTTTAATTGTAGAGGTCTCCAAACTTTACCTCGAGTTGCAATTGGGTCATCGAACTTTTTTTTTAAGACAATTAGGTCATCTATCTCTCATCCATTTCAATCGAGTCCTTCCGTCAATTTGAGGGCTAAAATCGTCCATCTCAATTAAAATATTTTAAATTTTAAAAATTGAAAAAAAGAAGAAGAAAAAAGGTGCAAAAAAAAATAAAATTATATAAATAAATAAACTTAAAAATAAAAAATAGAAATCCAAATTCCCCCCCCCCCACCCACCCATTTAAAACCCATATTGCAACCCACCCCCCATCTCCCGCAACCCCAACCCCCCAAGATGCAACGTGTTCAATTTTATTTTATTTTTTTCAATTTTTGAATTTGCACACAGAGAGAGAGAGAGAGAGGATCTGGATGGGATTTGCAGATCGATACGGGACATTGGATCCACCAAGGAGATGGTGATTCTGGTCTCGGACGACGTCTCCAATTACGCCATAAAGCTTCTCGAGGTTATTACTCTTCTTTTGTTTCTTTATTTTTGGTACTGGAGCAAATTGAGCTGTGGAGAATCCATTTCTATCTAATTAAGGAAAGTGAATGAGCTTAAGCTTAGTTGAGTTTATGGACTTTCCTTTTTTTTTTTTTCAGAGCGGCAAATAGCTAATTGAGTATCAATTAGGTTTTTGGCATTAACTGAATTGTGAAGTGACTTTAGGAAAAATAAAGGATAAAACCTTTTGCTTTTCCTAAAATAAAATTTTCATTCTAGTAAAGTTCCAGCTGCGGCAAATACCCTTAAATCAGATTGATTGTAAGCGTGATTGTTTTGGTGAATATTTGTGCAGGTTGATGGATGGATAGTGGAGAAGATTAGTTTAGTTGGTCGATGATGGATGAAGAAGGTGAAGTTGGGATCGATGATGGATGAAGAACTCGAAAGGACGCTTTACCCCCTCATTTTGGCGTAAAAATTGACAGAGTTGGACGGTAGGACCTAATTGGAACTATTTGTCGAGTTAACGGATGTAATTGCCTTAAAAAAAAAGTTTGGGGAACTAATTGCAACTCGAGGCAAAGTTCAAGGATGTCTATAGTTAAAAACCCAAAAAAAAAAAGGAAAAAAAAAAACGAATCCCAGCTTCTTCTTCTTCCTTGTGTTGACGTCGCACTAGCTTTTCTGTCTCATTTCTCTGTCTCTGTTTCTCTTCTCTCTCTCTCTCTCTCTCTCTCTCTCTCTCTCTCATCATCATCTCTCAGTCACTCTCTCAATTGGTTACGGTTGCCAACGACTTTGGTATCCTGCAATTACATCCACAACCGTAGCATTTCGGCTCTGTCGTCCAACCGCAATCGGTCACTGACCAAAAAAGTCAACAATTTGCCAACTGAAAATATTGGTTGGAAACCGGTGATTTCCGGTATTTGTAGTCCAACTGCACATCCCTAGTTGCTAGGCCTAGCTTAGTATCTGTTTAGTTTTTATTATTTTGGGGCATTAGGCCCACATTGTACCAAAAAATAAAAGTACAAATTTATAAATAAACCCAATTCTAGACATGTATTTATAAAAAAACCCAAACACTATTTAAACATAGAAACACACCCAAAATCAACAATTGTATATTTTTTGGGTGTGTTTATAAATGGATTTTGAGTGTGTGTAATGATGAGTTTTTGGTGTGTTTATAAAGTGTTTTGGGTGTTGGGTTTTTTTATAATTTCAGCCCCCATTTTGGGTGTTTTAGTGAAACTCCCAAATAAAAGAGGGTGGGTAGGATTGGTTGGAGGCTTGGAGCCGCCGATGGGGGAATAAAAGAAGGTGATATTTTTTGTTCTTTTTTTCTATTTTAATTGTTTAAAAGATATGCAATATTTTTTAATAATAATTTTTTCATTTTTAAAAATATATTTGAAAATGGAAAGACTAAAATACTCTTAAAAATGAATGGAAAATTGGATGGTGTTAAAGTCAGATAACAAATAATGGAATTTGAAAAATTAAAGTGACATTTCTCTTAATTTTTTTTTAAAAAATTACAAATTAAAATTGAAGTATAAGTTCAAACGACAATTCTACAAAAATACCCCATAATTATATAACATGCGCATAGTGCACAGCAAGAGCACCACGAGGCAATCAATGTGTATTTTTTTATAAAGATGTTCTGACTTTAATTTAATATAAGAATTATATAATTTAGTTTTCCTCATGAACAGTTGTCCCTTTTGTTCTCCTCAATATTCTCTTGCCGGCCTTGTTCATGAGTCTCTAATTTCTCCTAATGATCCTTTACAATTGCTATTTGTTCTAAATTTTTCCAGCTTAAAACAAAGATTAACAACAAAGTTGAAACAAGGTGAGGGAGAAAATGGAGGGTGAGTTTGGAAGCTTCATTAAGGTATGGACTTCAGTATTTGTATGTATATTCTACTGCTATTCAATTGGTAAAATAGTCCCAAAAGGTACAACCAGACTCGTCTGTGCTCTCCCAGTTGTGTGCCTCTTCTTCTACCTTCCTCTCAACTTCTCCTCCATCCATCTTGGAGGCGGCACAAGCTTTTTCATTTCATGGCTTGGAAGCTTCAAGCTTCTACTTTTTGCCTTTGGCAAAGGCCCTTTAGCTTCCGACCCATCAATCTCCATTGGACGTTTCTTGGCCATTGCTTGCCTTCCAATTGAGATCCAAGAAAACCCATCTCCTTCAGCATCCCATCTAAATGGCCAAAACCGAAAAAACCCACCTCAAAATCCCCAAATTGAAACCAACCCATCTCCCAAAAACACCATACATATTGTAATTAAGGGCTTTCTTTTGGCCATTCTAATTGGTGTCCTTAATTACAGTCAGCAAATCCACCCAAAGCTCATCTTAGTCCTTCATTGCTTGTACATATACCTTCTTCTAGAAACCCAACTCATCATTGTAGCAGCCCTCGCTTGGGGCCTTCTGGGTTTAGATCTCAAACCGCATTTCAACGAGCCTTACCTCTCCACCTCTCTGCAAAACTTCTGGGGCAGAAGATGGAACCTCGTGGTCACCAGTATCCTACGCCAGTCCGTATACGAACCCACCCTCAATTTCTCCACGTGCGTCATTGGCCGCAGGTGGGCTTCACTACCCGCTGTCTTTGCAAGCTTCCTTGTCTCCGGGCTTATGCACGAGCTCATTTACTACTACATGGGTCGTGTGAGGCCCACGTGGGAGGTCACGTGGTTCTTCGTTTTGCACGGGTTTTGTTTGATGTTGGAGATCGTTTTGAAGAAGGCATTGAAGGGCAGTTGTCGGTTGCCGAGGCTGATCTCTGTGGTTTTGACCGTTGGATTTGTGGTAGCTACTTGCTTCTGGCTATTTTTTCCCCAGTTTCTTCGATGTAAGGCTGATGTCAGAATGCTTCAAGAGTACCGAGCTTTTGTCGTGTTCTTGAAGAATGCCGTCAGTATATTTTCATACAAGTGATATTAGAGAAAGGAGGAATCGAACCCAACACCATGCAAAGCTCTTTACCCTTTGCATGGTGATCGGTTTATTTAGTTTATAAACTATTTATAGAATGAGTTCGGGATTGAAATCTGATGTAGCAACTCCCGTAAACAGCACCACGTCCATCTTTCACTTCATAACTCCACTGTATAAGTTCACTTATTGCATGCACCATCAATACACTTCTTAGAATTCGCTTTAGCAATGTCCCTATTACATTTGGCTGAGGCATACATAACTTTATTGTTTAATACTTGCTTCCCTTGAGCATATAACGGACCTTGAAAAGCTTGAGGAGTAAGAATAAATGTGTTCTCATATAAGTATACAACAATCTCAGACTAGCAATAGTTCGTTCCTTAAAAGTATGATTGATCTTTTTGAGTTTTACAACATTTCTAGTTATAAACATATTAATTACAATGCCATATAATTATCAAATCACAAAAGGCCGAGTTTCCAATCAATTTCTAAACGAGTGCAATCCAGCAAACCTTTAACTCTATTTAGAGCTGCTTGCCTGTGTTGCAGCAATGGAAGTGACAAATGCTTTACTTGCTCCACCTTGTTGTCATTCTTTCTTTTCCTAGGCAAGCTTCTTGATAAACTTTTCCATTTGGATTCAAACTCACAAGCTACAAACAAAACCAAAAAAATGTACAAAAGAAAAATTACTTGCTGTTAGAGTTGAAGATGTGGAGCTTAGCTTTTGGCCAGTCAAGTTTCGACCAAAAACAGTCTATCACAAGCCAATATCTATGGATAAAAGGAGCAGGGAGCGAATACAATTATTAATCTGACCATATCAAACTGTGGAGATGAGAGTTAAAATGTCCGTAACCATTTCCATTGCATACAGTTCAGTAAACCAGAGAATATGATATCTAATTTTCTAATTTAATCTTTTACAACAAATGCGTGGAAAACATATGGCGTCAGTCATCAAAGAGAATCAACAACAAGATCCTACTAAGATACAAGGGCACACAACGCTCAAGCCACACCCATATTATCTTTATGAAGATCATTCTTATAATGAATTGAGAGTAAGAAATTTTACTGAACAAATCAAAATAGTCTGAAGAAATTTTCCGGTGAATGGCACTATTCCCAAAACCATTCCTCTAATAATCAAATCAAATCGTAAATTGTCAAACTTTCGTGTGAATGGCCACTTATATGAAATTAGTAACCTTAATGGTTCATAAATCAGAAGTGGTTTAGTTTCCTTTCCCTAGAAAGAAACTGCCATGAAACCCTAAACCCATAAAAGAACTTCAGAATAGAGCTTATCCCACCACAAAAAGACCAGGAAACAACATCATCGTTATCCCTCTCGCTCTAATGCTAGGAAAAAATCAAGAAAAGAAGTTTCCAATCCTTTTACCTATCACCTCAAGTTAACAACTAACCAGAACTTCTTTATTCACATCCAAATAAAGAAAATCATTCAACAACATTGACCGATCACCCTTGTGCTGACCATATAAAATTATATATACTTTACATCGACATTTCAAAATATGTGTACCATTGTTTGCAGCAATAATATATATATATTTTCAAAAGGAACTAATTGAAGAGAATAAACAAGTAGCAGGAGACAGGTAGCACAGTGCAGAGCAAAAAATTAAAAGCACGGAGCTGTTTTATACTGGTGTGATTTTTAATCTATGCTTTGGAAACTTGAAAATCCCCAACCAGCTACAGCTGGAGTAATGAAGATTGAGCCAATATATTTTTCAAAAGGCCTCAAATCAAGCAAAAAATGACTTTCTTAATTGGTAGCCACACAGGCTTCTAGAAGGGCTGGAATAACTCAGGGCCAGTGCCTAGTTATGACACTAATCACATTAGAATCACAAGCTCCTTTATCAAAATTTTGAACAAAATACCTTCACTTTGGTCCTTGAAACCATGTATTAGGCATGCACAAATCCATGGTCTTCCAGCACTGGATGCTTTTGCACCCCCTTTTAGTTCACCATTATGTTGTTTCAAACTACAAAAGAATTTAAGAAGAATAATTAGAAAAGAAGCACAATCAACTGGTGTACTATGAATGAATATGTGAAATGACATAATAAAGTTTCCGTTCAACTCCAGCCTAACAAAAAATGCAAGCCACAAACAATAGGCCATACAACAACCTCCATCTCTGCTCCCCAATTCTGAGACGAAAGGCCAAAAACAAAACAGAGAAAAAAAAAAGAAAAGGAAAACTGCTTAAATTTCTAACCCATGTAAACATCTAATTATCCCATAATCATAAAGACCCAGTTAAGAATTATTCACAAATTTCTCAAAATTCTGGTCGAAGGAAAGGATAAATTTGAAATACCCAGGAAAAAAAAAAAGTTCATAAATGTAGGAAATGAATCATGAAAATGAAAATTTGAAACCAAATCAACATACCGGCGAGAGAAATCAGTGGTGACACCAACGTAGGTCTTTATGGGGGTATTGGTGGAAAGGATGAGATACACAGACCATGACCTTCTTGATTTTGATGGAGAGTTCGATGTTGCTTCGTCTGATTTGATTGGCAGCGATCGAGGCAAAGATGATATTTTTGGGGATTTAGGGTTTGGGTGCTTTACGGAAGGGAATGTCCTTGAGAGTCGTTGCATCGTTTCAGGTGAACATCTCAACTCGTTTGAAAAAAAAAGGGGTTATTCGTTATATTAGTCCCTAAATTTAGATTTGATTTACATTTGAGTCCCTCAATTTCCAAAATCGTTCATATGGTCCTACAACTTCACTTTCGTTAGAACAAATGATCATGCCATCAATTTTGTTAACTTTTCTGTTAAATGCAGGGGCAAAATGATATTTTTATATTTTTTCTAATTTTTGAATAAAATATAATAAAAAAATCAAGTTTTTAGGAATAATAAGAACTAATTTTTGATTTTTAGTTTGAATGAGGATAGGAATAAGATTTTTTAATTTTTAGTTTCTAATATTTAATTTTATTTTTTTGGGTGAAATGAATATTTAGACATTGAAAATTAAAAATAATACCAAAAATACTATTTTACCCCTGAATTTAACAGAAAAAGTTAACAAAATTGACGGCAGGACCATTTATCCTAACGAAATTTAAGTTGAAGGACCATTGGATCGATTTTGGAAATTGAGGGATTCAAATGCAAATCAGGTCAAAGTTCAGGGACTAATAAAACGAATAACCCAAAAAAAAAAAAATCTCAACTCAGCCTGTTTTTTGAACTTTTCTATTTATATATAGGCTTTATATTACAAAACGTCTCTAAGTTTTGCGAAATTATTAGATTGCGTCCTTATTATTTTTTTGTGTCATTTGTGGTTTTAAAGGTTAGTCTGTGTGCTCACAAATGGTTATTGCTGTCAGGTTCCGTAAAAACTCCGTTAGTGTATATATATAAGGCCCAGTTTGGGATTGCTGTCACTTTTAAAAAAAGTTGCTTCTGCTGTGCTTTGAAAATAATTAGTTGTAAAGTAAAGTAGCTCCGTGTTTGGTAAACAATATTTTTAAAGTGCTGTTAGTACAAAAAGCAGTGTCAAAACCGTTTGGTAAGTTTGAATATAAAATTGTTGTAACTGTGAATAATGACTAAAATAGACATGATGTTAAAAGTGTTATGTACTAATCATGTGGTAGTAGTGCTAGTGATGGAGTGGAGGTGGTGGTGGTGGTAGGGATGGCGCTTGTGGAGGTGGTGGTAGTGACAGCATGGTGGTGGAGGTGGCAGCATGGTGGTGGTGGTGGTGGTGGATGTGGAGGTTTTGAAGGAGGTGGTGGTGGTGGTGGTGGTGGTGGAGGAGGTGGTGGTGGTGGTGGTGGGGGTGGCAATGGCAGTGGTTGTGGAGGTAGTGAATGTGGTGGTGTAAGTGGTGGAGTTGGATGTGGAAGTGGAGGTGGTGTTATTTTTTAAAATGAATGATGGTATTTTGGGAATTAAAAAAATTCATTAAAGGTTCATCTCTGCTTCTTTTGAAAGCAGCTTTGAAAAGCAACTCATAGCCTGCTTTTAAAAACTGCTGTCAAAAGGCCACTGCTTTTAAAATAATCGAGATATTTTATTTTTACCAAACATCTAAAACTGCGTAACTTTAAAGTGAAGCAGGTTTTTGACGAAAAAAAGCAATCCCAAACGGGGCCTAAATCCGGTCATCCCCTCTACACCTTTTTAAATAAATAAATAAATAAAAACAGTTTGGTTGAGTGGGCAAAGCTTACGAAGCTCTATACCTGTTGTATTGAGACAGCTATCGCATGATGCAAAAGTCATATTCTTTTGAACAATTTTCCAACAATGTGCTAGTGCATATATAGAAGTATTTTGTTCTAGTATGCAGGGCTGGTCCTGGGTTTTCTAAGGCTCATGGAAAATTTTCTCAAGTGTGCCTCTTTATAGAAATTAAACACAAAAAAATATATATATCAACTAATTAATTTTATTAAAATTATAAGAATTTACAAGAGATAAGAAAGAACACTTTGGGGCCTTATTAAAACCTTGTTTGGGGAAAACCCAATGGGACAAAACCCCAAACGAAGGAAAAAGAGTACCCCACATTGTAAACATTACATTAAAAAACAAAAACTACATATTTGACTCTACATGCTTTCTCCCCAATCTCCGTAAGCATTTCTTGATTTGATCAATCTTCTTTTCATCCTCCACAGTTGAATATGAATAACTAATTCAATTGGAAGAATTAGTAGAAAATGAGAATGATATGTGAATGAAGAAATTGGTGATCTAGATGAAAATGAAAATATTGATGAACATTGCCATGAAAATGAATGTCCCGAAACAAGAATTGATTTGAACATTTATGATCAACGAGTTTGTGATAATCTTGTTGCAAAAATGAGAGATTTACTTGTAGAAAAGGGTCCCATAAGAGAAACTAATCTCAAATTCCCCATGGACGAACACAATAGACATTTTTCCTCAAATTAGTATCTTCATACATTACCAAATGAGGAAACTAAGGATTGAAAATGGCTAGTGTTCTCAAAGGAGTTGGATAAAGTGTTTTGTTTATATTGTAAGTTGTTTAAAACAATGAATTCTAGAAGTCAATTAACGAGTGAAGGAACTAGAGATTGGAAACATCTTGGTGAGAAGCTTAAACAACATCAAAGCAGTATTGAACACCTCACTAACTTGAGGTCTTGTATTGAATTGCAAATCAGATTGAAAACAAATCAAACAATTGATAAAGAATTACAAGAGCTAATCAAGAAAGATACACTACACTGGAAAAATGTTATTGTCAGAATCATTGTTGTTGTGAAATGTCTTGCTATACATAATTTGGCTTTTCGTAGAACAAATGAAAAAATTTATGAAGTGGTAATGGTAACTTTTTTAGGCCTACTTGAAATAAGTGCAGATTTTGATCCAGTAATGCAACACCATTTTCTACTCATTCAAGATAAGAAGATTCATTATCATTATCTTAGCCATAAAATTCAAAATGAGTTGATAACTATTTTAGCATCAAATGTTATAAGGGACTCAATTACATTTTGCAATTCATTAAAATTCCTAATTCAGATGTATCTTCCACATTTAGAAACTCTAAAAAGTACTCTTCTATATTTATTGGAGTACTTGAAATATCTACTCACCTCAATATTAAAGTCATTTGTTCTTTGTGACTTGCATCAGGAGTGCAATCAAGAATGATTGAAAAATACTTAGCTGTTTTTATTTTTTCAATGATTGCATAATATTGATGATGTGAGGGACAAGGTTATGATAATGACTCTAATATGAAAGGGAAAAATCTTGGAGTACAAAAAAGATTACTTGATATAAATCCTAGAGAATTTTACATGTCATGTGGTTCTCATTGTCTCAACTTAATAGTTTGTAATATGACCAACTCATGTGTTAAAGCAAAATCTTTTTTTGGAGCATGTCATTGCATATATATGGTATTCTCTAATTCAACAAAGCAATGAAATGTGTTACTTGATTACATAGATGGTTTGACTTTGAAATTATTGTCAACTACAAGTTGGAAGAGTCACATTGAAAGTGTCAAAGCAATAAAATCTCAAGCTTCCCAAATCAGAGAAGCTTTATTTAAATTAACAGAAATTAGTGAAGATGCCAAATTGAGTAGGGATGCTCAAAGTTTAGCATCAAGAGAGCTTTCAAGTTTTGAATTTATATTAAGTTTGGTTATTTGGCATGACATTTTACATAAAATTAACTTAGTTAGTAAAAAGTTACAATATGAAGACATGCGTCTTGATGCTGCTATAAGACAATTAGAAGTTCTTGTTTTATTTTTTGAAAACTATAGAATAAATGAGTTTATTTCTGCCATGATTGATGCTAAAGAAATTTCCCTTGATATGGGGAATTGGGCCTGTATTTCCAAAAAAAAAAACGTCAAGTATGTAGAAAAACCCTAGAAAAGAAAAAGACAATTTAATGAGATTTCCAATAGTGATAGGGAACAACAATCAGCTGAAGAATCATTTAGAATTGATTATTTTCTTGTTATAATGGAATGCTCCTGGTGAATTGAAGAGTAGGTTTGAACAATTGCATTGTTTTGAATCTATTTTTGGGTTCTTATTTGATGCTGCAAAGTTGAGTTCGTTTGATGATAATGAATTGAAAAGTTTTTGTGTGAATCTTGAAAATGCTTTAAAACATGGTGATATTTTCTGATGTTGATGCAAGAGACTTATTTTTAGAATTACAGGTGTTGCAAGTGATGTTACCAAAAGAATCATATGAAAATAGATAAACCATGGACATCCATTAAAATTCTTGAGTTTGTAAAGAGTGTGGATATGTTTCCTAATGTAATGGTTGCTTATAGGGTATTATTGACTATACATGTGACTATGACATTCGCTGAAAGAAGTTTTTCTAAATAAAAATTATTTAAATCTTACTTGCAAACCACCATGACTCAAGATAGGCTAAATGGATTAGCGATATTATGCATTGAAAAGGATATGTTATAAAACATTAAATATAATAGTATAATTGATGATTTTGCATCTAAAAGTGCAACAAGAAGACATTTTAAATGATATTTTGTGGTTGTGATTTCATTGCTATTTTTATTTTGTAGGTACAAGTGATCATTGTTTGCTTTGATTAATTGTGGAGGATGAAAAGAAGATTGATCAAATCAAGAAATGCTTGTAGACTCAAATATGTAGTTTTTATTTTTTAATGCAATGTTGACAATGCGGGGTACTCTTTTTCCTTCATTTACGGTTTTTTCCCATTGGGTTTTCCCCAAACAAGGTTTTAATGAGGCCCCAAAGTGTTCTTCCTTATCTTTTGTAAATTCTTATAATTTTAATAAAATTGATTAGTTGATAATTTTATTTTATTTTTTAAAAATTTGTATAAAAGGGCACACTTGAGAAAATTTGCCCTGAGCCTTAGAAAACCCTGGACCAGCTCTGCTCTGGCAACAAGTCGGTTAAATAAACCAACTAATAAGTCGATCTTACCCGTGTCTGAAGACTTAAGATGTCACTTTACCGACTTAACAAAGTATGACATGGAATGTGAGGTGAATTGAATTTTAGGAGGCAAATTGAGACTTGTATCAAAGTTTGAGAGCCATATCAATAACTAAGCCTATATATAAAATATTTTTGAAATTGCTAGCATGAATACTCTTGAT